ACATGGAGTTTGTAAGCTCTTATGGCTCCAAACAGTGCTACGTGATTTGGGAATTTCCGATAATGGTCCTATGAAACTCTACTGTGACAACAAAGCTACCATAAACATTGCTCATAATCTTGTTCAACATGACAAAACAAAGCATATAGAGATTGACATGCACTTCATCAAGGAGAAGCTGAGTGAGGGGTTGATATGCATGCCTTTTGTGAGATCCGAAGATCAATTGGCTGACATATTCACAAAAGGACTTGGTCGCAAGAGTTTCCACCCCATTGTGTTCAAGTTGGGCTTGATTGATATCTTTGCACCAACTTAAGGTGGAGTGTTAGATTATTATGGGTTTATTTGTAATTAGTTTATTAGTTGTTCTATTGTGTAACTAGTTCATTCTCTAGGACCATAGTGTAATTAATCTAGTGTGTTGTATAACTATCCCACGTTGTAATCAGTTTATTCTATGAGAAAATTACCCTAATCTTTGGTTCCCGTTCCACGTCTCTCTCTTCCTTTACAACTTCACAATCAGAAATGATTTAAGATAAATCCCTTCCACAGATTGCAATTAACCCATTTATGGCATGGATGATTGGTCAGATTCTTCAAGGGAAGGGAGACCCAACCTGGTGTTTCATATGTTTGACAAGTAAGCCATAGCAGAATTTGTGAAATAAATAAAGGGAATAAAGAGAATTGAGAAATCTACTCAGGGCAGAGCTAAATTCAAAGTATTTCTTTCTTTTTCTTTCTATATGTTAAAAAATTTAAGGTTCTCTACAAGTATAAATAACTTTAGTTTGGTACACATTTCAGATGATTTTCCGTTGCTCTTTGAAAATTTATCTTTATCTTTAAATAACATATATACAATATAAGTGTGTGGTTGTTCTAGTTATCCAAAAAAAGCAGAACAATTCTATATAACATGTAACACAGAGAAGCAAAGAATGTATAATACGGTTGGTGCAATCTTGCCCATAAAAATTTCTCTCTGACTCGCCCCTCCCTGATAAAGAGTGTGGCTCTGCCCTGCAAATGCTTTTCTCTTCGAGAATTTCCCAAGCTCGGAGACGCAGATCGAAGCGCAATGGAAAGCATTCTTTAATGTGTTTTCTATCAATTAAGTATCATTCCAAGCAAAAACATAAACGAATGAGGTATTGCCAAGGTCATCGATGTGAACATGGCCACCATGTAACGGTCAGGAGACTTGTCCAAACTCCTATGTCTATGTATCTTTTTTTAACAGATGTCTGTGTATCTTGACTTCGCAGATCATAGTCTTTTCCCTTTAAGGGTTGTTACACTACCATGAGTGTCTTACACACAAAATTTATTTCTTTCCCTGATTATGTCGATAAGCATACAAACTGTCACAAGGAAAACTAATATTATCCACGAAGTACTAACCTGGGTGAGAACGTTTCCTCTACTTTGTAGAGCATACAGGGCACCTTTAGCATAATTTCCCCAGGTGCATTCTTGTTGGAGTTTGGACGCACCACTTTCGTTGATATTGTCACTTGCCTTGACAATATGTATTGGGTGCAGAATTTTATCTACACTGTTAGACATGAAAATACAGAGTCGTAAGAGCAGAAAATGATACCCACCACTGAAACATGGAGAATCACCTTATAAGGTGCTTTCTGCCCAAATAACAAGATAAAAAAGATTGAAATGAGGAAAAAAGAAAATAATCAAATAGGGCACATTTCTAGGACACTTAAATCACTGAAAATGCCATTTCATTCCTAAGTTTCCTGTATTACACTCATTACTACATGAAGGAATAAGTTAATTATAGTCACTCAAAGCTCTTGCTGAAAACATTTTGGACAATAGTTGTACACTTTGGTAAATAGTTCCTTAATTTCATCTTTTGGATAAACTGGGAAACGCCCTGGGTAGACCACATTGGACACACCCCTGGCACAGCAAGCCCAGGTTGTGTGAACCCAGCCACAGGAATAAGAAGCTAAAAATTGGAAGTGTCCTGAACCTAGCACCAAATCTAAAATAAGAGCTGAAGTTAAGATAAATGAGACAACAGAAGCTAAGAACTTGACAGACTAGCTTCTCACCTGAACCTAACTTCTCCTTTAAACTGTCCTGAATTTAGTATAACCTGCACAAAGAGCTCCCATCAACAAAAGAACAACTATGAACAAACCAAAGCAAACGATTAGAAGTATTTGTCGGTGCCTAATTGGCAGAGATTACAGAAGTGAGCTTCTGGTGAGCTTTTGAATTAGGAAGGGACATTAGGATAGGACTCAAATTCATATGTTCAGAAAGAGAATACGAAAACAAAAGGAGTTAGCAATAAACACATAGGACGTAAAACTTCCGAAATCTCCATGTTGACGGAATGAGATCTTATTGTTTGTGGAGGTTTTCAACAGGCCTGTTGTGTTTACGTACCATTGTTACTTGTGCACTCTCTTTACTTGTATGTCTTTTGCCTTGCTTTTGATCAAGTAACAAGATTGTGACATATCACTGAATATCTCCCTCTCATTCTTTCCTTTGCGTGACGTTTTCCAAGTCTGCTTTGTAAGAGATTGACTTTTAAGGTTCATAACATATCCCTATGCCCTAAGGGCCTTTTGTTTTGCCAGACTTCGAGAATCGGACAGTTAATCGAAGGGGACAACGTATCTTTCGCAGTGAAGATTAAAAATCATCGGATACACTATACCATGGGGGATGGCGAATAACTAAGCCACTACTTTAGTATGGTGGGATTACATATCCTATGGAATCAGCTATCCTTCACTATTTGTCCTATTAAATGAACAAGCCCTTCATGTCTTAAGAAGCTGCGAGGGAAAAGAATCATACCTGAGAATCTCCAGAAGGAACAAATCCTAAAAGTATACCCTTGTTGATGGTCATAGCCGAAACAGTTCCACCCTGTAAACAACAACGCGAAAATAACTTCTGAGTAAAAGATTGCAAATTGCTATTTTTCCAATGCCAGTATCTTATTAAAGCTCAGAAAGGCAAGCACAAAAGATCAAACACCAATGTTGATAAAAATGGCTTCACTCTGAGAAGAAGAAAGTCTAAAGTTTAATACTTCAATGTGAGCTCTTTGCTGTTTGCCCTTTGCAGTTATGACAATAAATGAAAACAAAGTAAACATGGGCATTTCTGAGGATGATTCTAGGAAATACCATAACCGTAAGGGATATATAAAACACTGAACTCTTCATTTTCCTTTTCTAGCTCATTTACATGGAAGGAGGGGGAAGTTGACATGGAAGAGCCACAAGCAATGAGGCCAAGTCCAACACCTCCTCCAAAAGGGTCTTACCTCTTGAAAGGGTGGTGGCACCTTGCCAATTTATTTACATCAGAGAATCGTTAAGGTCAACATGGGAGAGCCATGAGCAATAATAAGGCCAAGTTCAACACCACCTCCAAAGGGCCTAACTGAACATAAATATTCAAAGAGTATATACCAGGCAAACTGAATTCCAGAAGACATAGTAGTTCGGTAATCTATTAATCAAGAGAGTAGGTAATCAAGGTCTAAAAGACAAGGGCAAAGCACACCTGATGATCAACATGGGCTCCCAGCGGACAAATCCTATATGGGGAAACAACTACCCTGACATCCTCAGTACATCTTCCAGCTATTTCAGCAACCAACTTCTTCATTTCATCCAACTGAAAACAGATATGTGTTAGGATGCATGCATAAACATATGTCCAAAACACAACCCAATTTCCAACCATAACAAAAAAACCAAACAGTTTACTGTCAAAAAACTGAAATTGCAGAAACAGGATATCCAAAGAGGGAACGATAACTAATGTGTTTGCACCCTTATCACGTAAGAGAATCCACTAGAACAAGAAAGCATGCCACGAAAAGCCAATCCAGCCATAGACCAAAAGAGGTCATGGCATCACCTTCGATTTGTTTCAGAGCATATTACCGGGCCATAAAGGCCCTATGTGGCCCCCTCCAGTTTCTTGAGCAATGTAGCCGATCAGTATTTTCATTGTAATCATTGCATACACTAAATAGGCTATATATCTCATGAGTTCCCTATTATAATGTAACCTATAGAGCTATAGGCTATATGTGACTGGTTTTGCAGTCCCTTGAATGCATCTAACGGAGTGGGGAAAAAAAGATACAATATCCATTCTATTAAGTTCATTTCTGTCTAGTGCCCCTTTAATCACCAATTTCTCACTTGTTAAAGTTTAAACCACCATTCCTCACATGATATTCTTATTTTCCGAGCCAAAAACAAAAAGAACCTCATCTTTGCAATCTCAATCATGCTAGCCATCCTTGCATTCTCATTTTAGGGGTTTCCATTACTTGATTTGTCCTTTCTTCACGCTTCCAAGTACAAATGAGAAATTTGGCAATCAAAATATCACTTTATAAAGGTGGTGTTTTCTTGTCAGGTGACCAAAAAAAACACAATGTAGTACAAAAAGTTCGTAATTCCGTATACCCCGCGTTGTACAACATGTGGCGCCGCTAACAATAATATCCAGGGTCTGCCTCTGAAGACCACTCACATGCGTGTACATACTACAGAAATGATCTATCCACATTACACCAGCCACAGACAAATTTTACCATGTTGCAAATAGTCAAATACACAAGCACTTGGGCATAAAACGTAGGATGAAAATCAAAACACAATCCTATTAGATGTAACTAACCAATCGGTGTACAACAAACACTCAGGAAAGCTGAAATCAGATCAATGCTGATCAGGGATTTAAGCAATAACCATGCATAGATTCATCTTCGTTGGTATTCTTTTTTTTTCGCCATTTCATTCATCACTATGAAAAGACTACCCCCCCCCCACTTAACTCAGTCCGGTAATCAAAATTTCAGGCTTCCTTCCTATATCAACACATGCATATACCTGCTATAAAAGTACATTCCAACAATGCACCAGCCCCAAACAATCTAAAATACGAAATTCTGGATGTTGAAACTAATGAAATATGAACCCAAGGGGTTGGCCAAGTGGTCAAGGCTTGGGACTAAGGGTCTCCTCCCTCCTAAGGTCTCATGTTCGAATCATCTCAGCTGCTATCAACCCCTTTGGGGCTGGTCCATATGGAGCTTTGCTCCGCCTTTAATTTGGCTCCCCGCGGGTGGGCGGTGGGATTGGGCCCCATACGCTAGCCCGGACACTTGAGTAATCAAAAATAATAATAATTAAATACGTATACCCAATTGGCTTTAAAATTTATGCAGCATGAAATTCAAAACGTAGTCCTCTTAGATCGTGGAAACAACAGTTGGGTATTGGAATACAGGCCAGGAAAAGCTGAAATCAGATCATTGCTGATTACAGTAAGAACAATCAATGCAATTAACAGTGACCCATAAACCACATTGGCCATAAGAATATTATTACTAGTTAATGTGGATAAAAAAATTTGTGAATTCAGAATTACCTCTGCATTGGAAGGCCAAGGCACCTTGCCCATCTTTCAAAAAGGTCTCAGTATTGCCTCCAATTGCCAGCTTCAACAGGGTTTTTGGCTCTCATCTTTGAATGTTTCTGGGTATATACGGATATATACAAGAGGAGAGAGAGAGTGAGAGAGGAGTGAGATCGACGGAAGTCACGGAATGGAGTGGCAGGTAGTACAGCGCTACATTACAAGGTTGAACGTCATGTCACGGAATGGAGGGGCAGGTATTTACACCAACCATTTGTAGTGGACCAACTAACGTGATTATTCTAGTATGGGGTGCCAAGGAGGCTACAGGCCCAGTGGCCCACAGCTTTGCTTTGTGCCGGATTTACTGACCGATCTAAGTCGGCCGCAGTTGTAATGAGCGCGATCCGGCTAGCGGATTATTTACATGCACACACCCTTAGAGCATCTCCTAAACACTCCAACCCATCCTCTCAACCTTCCTCCATTTGAGAGTATTAGATTTTGATCCTCTATATTTAGAGAGCAGAGAAAATATAGAGGATCATCTCTAAAATACTATTCACCTTTTTAAATGGAGCATCTCCAATCCAATACTCCATTTGAGAGTATCAAAATAATATTTTTTTACTCATAAAGTGATTATAGAAGAAATTACTATTCATGTTTACACCAACCACAAACAGTCTATTTTTGTCTCTAAAATCACTTTACCGGAAAAAACTTTTTTTTTATACTCTCATGAGGATGAGGATATGGTTGGTATAAAAATTTAGTAAAAAAAGCAAATAAGGACAAAAATATATTTTAAAAAGGTGAATAGTATTTTAGAGATGATCCTCTATATTTTCTCTACCCTCTAAATATAGAGGATCAAAATCCAATACTCTCAAATGGAGGAGGGTTGAGAGGATGGGTTGGAGTGCTTTGATACTCTCAAATAGAGATATAGAGTATGGGTAGGAGATGCTCTACTACCACACACTTGCACTGGTTTTGTATGATTGAATCATTGATCTGTCTAATCGGCCTCCGTTAAAATGGGTACGATCCAAACTGCGGTTATTCACTGATTGTATGCTTGTTATGTAGCGTTTGTTAAGTTTGGGGTGTTACTAAACCAACCAAAGACAAACATTTATGGGCCAAAGTTCGAACACCTAAATAGGCCAAGCCGAAACACATGGGAAATCAAAAAACCCTAGCTCTATTCCACAGCCGAACCACTGGAGCCTAGCCACTGCCACCGCCAACCGATCACAACCGCATCAACACGCCGACCACACCACTCCCTTTCCGCGAGTGGTGCTATCAACCAATTGTAATCATCCATTTTCAGCCATCAATGCATTTCTACCTGATTTCTCCACACACAAAAAAAAAAACTAACGTGCTCATTACATCCCAGGAATTTTATGAGATTTTCGCAAAAATGATTTATATCGCAAGAATTAATCTAAGTGGTTGTTTTTAATCATTTACTATCCATTATTCCAAGACTAATTATTTGTCATGCCAGAGATAATCGAGAAACCATAAAAAATATAGTACTACATAGATGAAAGTTGGAAAAAGTTACTAAGATAAAAAGGATACTAAAAAAATAAGCAGCTTATTTCACATTTTCAAACTAAAAAATAATGTAAATGAAAAATTATTTTTTTATTTTTTTTACACCGTATTAAAGATCTTGATGAGATCTATCAAACAAGATCCATAGTGATAGAAAAATTATTTGCATAAACACATTATTTTTGAGCTTGAAATTGCCTTCTTAAAAAATAAGCAGCTTATTTGTGTTCTGGAACACAGCCTAACCCGTTTGGCTATAAGTCAAATGGCTTATTTTTTTGTCCTTATTCAAATTTTTTTGTATTTGTTAGTTTTTCGTCAATTTTTGGGATTATTGCATCGTCATGACGAGAAGAATCTAAAAAGTAAAAAATTATGAAGTGTTTTTCCCTTTTCTAGAAAAGCAGCAACAAAAGCAATTAAGACAATTAGATGTTAAAAATAGTCAATTAAAACAACTACAACAAGAAGTCAAACAAAAAAGAATTGAACAACAACTAAAAGACCCAATAGTTATTCAAAGTATATCTACATTCAAAGAAAAATTAGAAGCAGAAGTATGTTCTAATCTTCCCAGTACTTTTTGGTATAGAAAAAAGCACATAGTCACTCTTCCATATGTTAAAACATTTAGTGAAAAACAAATACCCACTAAAGCCAGACCAATTCAAATGAATTCAGAACTAATGGAAATATGCAAACAAGAAATTAACAGTCTTCTAGGACATAAAATAATTAAGAAGAGTAAATCTTCTTGGTCTTGCTCAGCTTTTTATGTAAACAAAAATGCTGAAATTGAAAGAGGTGTACCTAGATTAGTCATTAATTACAAACCATTAAATGATGTATTAGAATGGATTAGGTACCCAATTTCTAATAAAAAAGATTTAATTAACAGAATTTATGCCTCAGTCATATTTTCCAAATTTGATTTAAAAAGTGGATTTTGGCAAATTCAGTTACACCCCAATGATACTTACAAAACAGCTTTTGTAACACCATTTGGTCATTATGAATGGAATGTTATGCCTTTTGGATTGAAAAATGCCCCAAGTGAATTTCAAAATATAATGAATGAAATATTCAACCCATTTAGTCATTTTATTATAGTTTATATTGATGATGTACTTGTGTTTTCTAAATCTTTAGAGGAACACTGGAAACATTTAAAGTCATTTTTAGAAATAATTAAGAAAAATGGATTAGTAATTTCTGCTCCAAAAATTAAACTATTTCAGACTAAAATTAGATTTTTAGGATATGATATTTATCAGTCAAACATTACCCCAATTAATAGGGCTATTCAATTTGCAGATAAGTTCCCAGATACAATTACTGATAAAAATCAACTTCAGCGATTTTTAGGATCATTAAACTATGTAGCAGAATTTTATAAAGATCTTAGAACAATTTGTCAACCTCTGTTTGAAAGATTAAAAAATAAACCCCCCCCCCCCTTGGACTAATAATCACACTTTAATTGTCCAACAAGTCAAGAAATATGTTAAATTCTTACCTTGCCTCGGTATTCCTACTAATCATAGTTTTAAAATTATCCAAACTGACGCTTCAGATGCAGGATACGGAGGAATTCTTTTACAACAAATAGATTCCTCTTCTCCAGAGCAACTTGTTCGATTTCATTCAGGAATTTGGAATAAAACCCAAGTAAATTATAGTACCATTAAAAAGGAAATTTTAGCAATAGTTTTATGTGTTTCAAAATTCCAAAATGATGTATTAAACCAAAAAATTTTAAGAAGGGGGAGCAGTTAGATGGTGGTCTAGAATAGATTATTATCATATTCTATAACTCCAGTAGGTTGACTGAGGACATCTCTAATCTTGTGGGCAAACAAGTTGGGAAGTCCGTTAATAAACTTCTCTTTCCAAAATGACTTCATGCAGTCGTCTCTAAGCATTACTCTGGACATAAAACATCTTTATACCATCTAAAGTCACTCAGGGTTGGACAATACAGATTACTTAACTGGTCATGGATTCTAGAGGTAATGTTACTAGGTTGACCAACAAAATGTTTAATTATAGTATAGATTAATGTGTTGATTCCGTCGGGTTCATCTTCTTCTTCATTCTCCAATCTTTTTATATTCATAAAATACTCCGTGTTTTTACTATGGTTTGACTAGATGATGATTCAGATAAATTTTTTGTAGATGAATCACTCATGGGAGATTTCGATCTTCTTCTTGGAATTCGTAACTCTAATATTTGATTTATTTCTTTTAACTGAGTTATTTCAATTTTAATAAGATTTATTTCCTGTACTAATTCTTGGATAGTGACCTCTTTATGGGTTTTGTTGAATCTTTCTATGGTGGCATTGAGATTTATAATTGGTTTAGTATATTGTGGTTGTTTCTTATTCTGTTGAATCATTACTTTTTTGAGTTTATCAATATATTGTCTTTTTAATTCAAAATCATCTATCTTACTAATTAAATCAATTAGTAATTCTTCTTCAGGTAATTCTCGGTTGAGTGTACTTATGATTTTATTACAACAATTATTGGTACATCCTATTTTAATTGGATTATCACTCGAACTTTCTTCTAGAGAATGGTATTCAGATGATTCGGATGATTCTTTTTATGTTCCAGACGCCCCCGTGCAATAGCAGTGGGATTTCTGAGTCATCTGTATCATAATTCAAGAAATCGTTAGTAGGATAAATTGAATAAGCTTTGAGCTTTTGTAATTCATCTTCTTTTGGTTTTGTTAGAAATTCAAATTGGACATTTTGTTTATTCAAATTGGTAGTAATTTTGTTACTGGAAACGGTAAATGGATAGAGTAGACAGATGAAAGGTACTCCTAAAATTACTTTGTCAGATAGGTTTTTGACTAAAACAAATGAAGTGACAAAATTTGTCTTATTTTGTTGAACAATTACCTTGGGTAGTTTGTATGCTATTTTCATAGCACTACCGTTTGCTGAACTTAGCATTTCTGCTGTTGACTGGTAATACTCGTTGGGTATTAAACATTCCTGAATACAATTGAGATCTGCTAGTCTAGTTGCACTTACTGTAGTCTGTTTATGTTCTTGA